TTTCTTTTGTTGTGGGGTTTGGGGGGCTGCTGGGATGTGCTGTGGTGCATTTGTCTCGCGGGTTTGTTTCTCTTTCTTTACTCCTCTGCATGTCTTTTGGTTTATCTTTCTCATTGCATTCATCTCGGGGCGTTTTGGCATGGTCATGATGATGATGGTTGGTTATGAGGGATGCATTATGAGGAACGGAAAAAAACCCAAGGAATGATATTTGGTTGACTTCAATTTATGGAATGACAGTTCATAAAATGGCAGTGTTTTCTGCCCCTCCCCCCCCCTCCGCTTTATCTCGCATGCCCCGTCAAGCGTGACCCGGAAATGGAAGTTGGAACCTGAACGACATCAGCATGTGCTTCTACCCTCTTCTCCATACCCACTCATACATACCTAAAGACTGTGGCACATGGTGTGACAGACTGTTGCCCGTATACTCCGTCCGGTGTCGTCAAGGCCGAGCCGACTTCAGTTCCCTACCCCAACCGGCTCCATCCCCCCCTTCTCCGGTGGCCCCCCCTCCCCCCCGCGGCGGCATCAACCGCGACCGCCGCCGCCCTCGACGGGAGCCCGAACCCCCTTAAGCGCGGCGAGGGCGTCCCGCAGGCGATGGGTGGTGCCGCCCTCGACCTTCTGGAAATTCGCCGGCGCGTAATCGTCGGCGCGAAGGGTCTCCCACACCTGCTCCGCCAGCTCATCCCCGTGAGCCCGGGCAGTATCGACATCTAACCTCCAGTCAGCCACCGCTACTCCCATCAGAAACAAGGCGGAAGCAAAGAAAAAGGAATCAAAGAAGAAGGAAGCGGGAAAGAAGGAAAGAAACCTACAAAGACGGCACACTCCCACATTGAACTCCCTTACCGCCTTGGAGACGTCCTCCCCAAAGCGGGCCGTGCTCCTGTCCCACCACTGCTGCTGCAGATGGCTGGGCGTGGCCAGCAGGGCGCGCACATCGCGGTGCTGCACCCAGGCGTCGTGGATGGCGCGGTCTGCGCGCGCACACAGGTCGTCCAGCTCCCGGCGTAGGTCAGCTAGTAGGGAGCCGGCCTGGGGGCTGTCGGATGGGGGAAGGTTGTTGGCGGTGATGGAAGACATTTTCTTTTTTGCTTTAGTTGCCTTTTTTTCCGTTTGTCCTTTGACTTTTATTTTGAACTTTGGTTTGTGAAGGAAGAAAAGAGAAGGAAAAAGGATTTGGTGTATCCGGTCACCGATGCCATCCCTATATACCTACTATCAGAGAGGAGAGTGGCACCATTGGAACGTAAACGCCGCGTCATGGACTCATCTTTGGCTGCTTCTGGCCCCTTCTCGTGACCGTAATGTCAGAAGGTCTGGCGGTTCTGGACGATTGAAGTGCGAGTTGATCAGATGAGTGCGCGTATTGCCCCCCGTCCAAAGAATGACAACTCTAGGTCTGAAGCCCTAGATTAATGTGGTTAGCTACCAAGGACTTGAATATAGCAATAAATCACACGCTCAAGAGTAAGACACTTGCTTGTACGCTCTGATATGGTATGGCTGCCTAGGTAACTAACTGCATACCACCATATCTACCTACAGAGAAGTATGCCAACATCGTTTTCTAGGTCAACTCATGTCGCAGACGCTCGTTGGAGTCGTATGATAATAACGTCGTGCTCTGCAATGTCCTTCGAAGCTAGGGGCGACAAATAAATCATATGATGTCGGCAATATTACACACTGGTCTTTAATCCATTGCTTCCTTCGAGGAATAGCTCTATGTTCAACGTTGACATTACGGATTCACATGACTGCTCCTGAGCGTGGGCTGATGGTTTGTTTCGACTGTGTTTGCCACTGGATCGATCTAGAACTGTTGCTAAGGGTAGTGAACCCAGAGGACCGACTACCCACACTATCCAGCGCCGCCATCCTGGATTTGGAACAGCTATTGATGACGACAGCTTGGCTGGTTGTAAAGCTTTCATTGGATTGAGGGCCTCCAGAGCATGCAGTGGTCGCTGCCAGGCATATGCCGAACTGGGCAAACACATATCCATTTGAGGTGATGCCGGCTCGGCAACTCGCGAGGGGCGAAATAAATTGGAGACAATCTGTGGTGAAACGTCATTCGCGGGGCGCAGTGGAGGATTGTGTGATTGCTGCTAGAAAACTGCAGTAACGGACCCTGGACAGAACGGGATATTGCCCGTGTCTTCACCCTGCTGCGGCCTGAGGACGCGGAATTCGTTGATCACCGTTCCCACTTCTCCACGCAAAGAACGGGTTTGCTGTCGTGCAACTTTCGAGCAGCACAGTGATTGGACCATGGTGCGCCCGGGCGATATCGCTGACACTCGTTCTATCCTCCCCCATGAGATCGATGGTGGTGGGTGCCATCCATTGCGTGCCATTGTGGTCCGCCGTGAGGGATAAAAATATGTTGAATCGATGGTGGCCCGAACCAACGGATATTAACTCTGATGGCGTCGGAACCAACAGGCATCGGTTCGTAAAATTTCCCAAAACAACCACCGACCGGTCAACTTCCGGCTCAACGAACCTGGTCAGTGCCATCGCCCAGCGCCAGTCAACCAGTCGTCCAGTCGCTCCTGGAACAAACCAAGCACATGCAAAAGACGAGATCGCTTCGGCGACTGCCAGGCTTGGTTAGAGCCCCGAGCAGCGGGGTAGCGTGGCATTCCCGCTGGCTTGGGATCGAAGTGGACTCTTGGGGTAATTTAGCCTTGGGCTGGTGGGTTGCTAGCTCGACATTGGCGTGGTGTGGTGTGGTGGGTGGGAGCAAAGACGCGAAAACTAAAAAAAAAAAAAAATCCAAAATCCCAGGTGCGGTCAGTGCTCCGTTTCAATCAATTTCCAATCGTCGGGGCTGCTGTCCGTCGCTCCGTCATCTCATCGTCCAACGCCTTGCGATCTCCACTTCCCCGATCAACAGAATTTAACGGGGCGATCCCCCAGAGTGTGGATTTACACAATAACGACGTACGTATCAGAGGGGCTCTGAGGGGTTTTGAGGGTGCATCATCAAGAGAGCCACCGACGTGGTTCCGGAGCCAGGTCCTGCGGCTTGTTGCGGGATCGACATTGCGAAAGGGGGAAAACGGACGGTGGCTGCATGGCGTGCAGCAAAACGTGGCTGGCAACCGTCGAACATCTGCAAGGCTGAGGCTGTTTTGGGGTTAGCATCGCTGGAAGCAGCCGAACCTGGACGGTCCGGGGCAGAAAACGGGTGGGCGAACAGGTTGCATGCTTCGGGCCGTTTTCTTGGGTCTGCAGCGAACTGTGCGTGTGTTTCACCTTTGAAGAAATGCGACATCTCCCACACACATCTTGACTTCACATTTTACACAACGACATCCAACACGCATCTATCTGTGGATAACAAATGAGGGGAGAAACCGGCACACCGGCAACCTCAATTCCGCGCTGGTGACTGTTTGAAGAACCAGGTTCAACCACGTCTGGAACTGCGTCAGCCCAACAAGGGACTTGTCGGATGCTGACCGCATCCAGGTATGTTCTCCGCCCCACCTGCCCCGACTGCAGGGCCCAGACTTGTCAAAGCGAAAAAAGCGAAAAACACACAACACACAAGCATGGACACACACAACAAACAATGATGCGAGCAAGGAGGTGCAGGTGCAACCGCCCAACCGGGAGATGGAGCAAATGAGGTATTTTCCAAAGAGGGAAATGAAGAACAGAAAAGAGCAGGGCAGGTCGATGCAATCATGGCACCGCCTGGTGTCGGGCATGAAAACGAAAATGGCAAAATGGCAGAATGGGTGGGTTGGATGTTTGGATCGGTCTTCCACTTTCCATCGAGGTTCCATCAATTCGAAGCTCACTGCAGCTCCCCCCTCTGCAGTCAGATGCAAAAGAAAGCCGGGGAGACAGGAAAGACAGGCTATCGAGTCCAAAGCCCCACTACTCCCCCCAGCAGTGGCACCGGCCTGGAGCCCGGGGTATTGGGGTACCGGGTTTGAAGTGTGCCAAGCGGCTACAGGGAGCAGCTAAGACAGGGGTGGCCTGCACAGACCCCTGACTGGATGCGGAGGAAAGGGCCAACCAAGAGGGGGGTTGCCTTCGCTCCCCGCCAGCAATTATTGGCTGCCAGTGGTTGTGAGCCATGTCTAGCCTGAAAGCCGCCAAATGAAGGGAGGGGCAGTGACCAACAGCAACGAGCAGCGACACTACAAGTTGAGCTTCCAGCCGTGGGAATAATCGTTGGTGTGCCTGCGATTCCTTGCGTTCCATTGTCCGGCCCGTGCTCCCCTCGGGTTCCTGTTCCCTCACCCACTCCATCCTCCCCTCCCCCTCATTGCCACGCGAGGAGCCGACTGCACACCCTTGGCGGCATCTTTCATTAGTTCCCTTTAACCATCCTCGTGTGCCTGCGCCGCCCCGTCCTCGTGGCTTCCTGAACGCCTTTGTCTCAGCCGGAAATAATTGAGGTGACTTTGTTGCTTCGTTGCTTCATTGACTCTCACTATCACCCTCGAACGAGTGGGGGGGGCGATCAGAGTCAGCCTTAGTCAAACGGAACCTTCCCGTTGATCCGCTGTCGTCGCGTGCCGCATGCCGATCCTAGACTCGAGCTCGTACTGGGACAACCGAATCCAGCCGATTGCTCACTCCGAATTTTATTTTCTGCAAAACATACACACACACCGCACGGAGCCGACGCAAAGATGGAACCATACGCCCACACGGCGGATGAGATGGATGACATGGTGTAAGCTTGAACCTGGGAGCTTGCAGTCAGGGTTTCTTCGCGAGAAACCGTGGAGCAGCGGCCGCTAACATGATACGTGCCGATGCAGGAATAAGCTAGGTCGTTTGAACTCGAGAGACTCCAGCTCGTCACGTCATACGTCGTCAATGGCATCATCAATAGACGACAGGTATGACGGCCGGCGACGAGTCCCATCCGGCGGAATGCCTGTGCCACGCACGCCTGACTCGCCGCGCTACCTTGGCCAAGACGACGTATATCGCATGCCAACCTACGAGCTGGGGCAGCGACCCGCGAACTCGGTTTCTATGCAGCCTCCCGGAACACCAAGGGCACCACAGTTTCACCGGAAAGATTCGTACGCCTCAGAACGACGGCCATCCAAGGGTTCCTCGGCCGGCTACAGCTTGTACCCCGCAGCCCCCAAACCGCCCATAGCCAAGCCCTTGCCGCCGCTCCCCGTGCTGAACCGCCAGGGCTCGCATCGGGCTTCATCACAACCATCGCTAGACGGGTCCGACCTGGGATCTGGTGACACATCCAGATATTCGCAGTCGTCGAGGGGGAGCACGTTGGAGCGGGTATCCTCATCCGGCAGTGCCGCGTCGCCTCCAGCCGCTCTGGGGCCATCACCTGTCATGCCTAGCGGCGAGTACCGTGCACGGCCGCAGCTGATGCAGCCGGTGCAACCGGTGCAGCCAATGCAACAGCAGCACGGATCCTCGCCCGTCCACTTAGTACCGTGGAAACAACTCGTCGCCGTCAAGGACAAGCACCTCAAAGAACCCACCGTTTATTTCTTCGACATCTCCACCTCCTCCGCGACCCTTGCCAGCAAACATGGCAACAACATCATCCGGATATGGTCCGTCGGCAGTGGCGAGGTGCAAAATAACCTGAAGATATCCTGTTACACCAACGCCCAGCCCCGCTCGCGCGAGTATTTCGTCCGAAGCCACGCCATCCTCTCGGAAACCTCCAACCTGATCGCCATCGCCACCGGCTTCGGCGACACGCTCGAGATCTGGGACTGGAGCAAGAAGAAGCGCCTCCAAACCATCGACAACGCCAACCGCTGGGCCGCCGTGCGCTCCAACGTCATGGAATCCGGCTGGTGCCCACTCGTGACGTACAACAGCAACACCGACACGCTAGACCTCTACTCCGCCACGCACAACCCCAAAAAACCCTTCAAAAAATCCCGCTCCATCGACTTCAGCAAAGCCACCAACCTCCCCATCCTGCCCAAATTCCCCGAACTCGCCTTCTCCGCCACCGGCCCCCTCCTCGTCACCGCTTCAGGCCCCCGCCCCCCCCGGCCCCGACCACCCCCCACCGGAGCGCGAAACTCTCCTCACAGCCTGGGAGATCCACGACGGCGCGCCCACCTCCAACACCCCCTACAAGGTCGTTGCCCCCTGGCAGCACGCCGAGCTCGACACCGCCCTGCCCTCCGGGCTCGCCACCTACGGCTCCGTCGCCGTCTCCATCTGGATCCCGGCCTCCTACCGCGCCGTCCCCATCCCCGGTCGCGGCGGCTTCAACCTCGCCCCCGCCGCCGTCCACCACCGCCACGTCCTCGTCTGGGACTTTTCTGCGTCGTCGACCAAGACCTTCCGCATCCCCAACGCTACCTCGTGCGTCTCGCCGGATTGTCGCTTCGTCGCCTACTGTGATGCGCGCGGCGTGGAGAGTGGGGCGCGCGGGTGCTTGGCGCTGGTCGATGCCATGACGGGACGGCAGTTGTGGTGCTGGCCCGATCCAGGAAGCGGGGATTGTTGGATTCCGCGGAGGATGCTGGCGTGCGGGCCGGCGTTGGGGGATTTGAGTCTGGTCACAGAGATGTGCTTTTCGGCGGATGGCGGGTTTTTGTTTGTGGGCGATGCGGAGGGGGGGATTGGTGTGTTTGAGGTGAGGGAGGGGGCGCCTGGGAGTAGTGGCGGGGAGGTGGGGTTGAGGGCGTTGCGGTGAGGTGTGGTGGGATGGGATTGATGGGTGAGGTTGGTGAGATGAAACGCAACGAGATGTTAGTGAGATGAGATGCGGCGAGATGACCATGGGAGTGGGTGGGTGGGTGATGAGATGAGTATTGGATGGTTCTTTTTGGTTATTGTAATGAGATTGGATCGGTTTGGGGGGAGGGATATATTGCTGCTGATGATGGTGGGGGCAGCGAGGATATATAACTCGGCTGGGATCTCGGCCGTGTCAGGGCCAGAGGTGATACGTGTGCGTCTTATGTATAGACTGGCTTGGCTGGTGGGCGGGTCTGGTTAACTGGTAACGGACGGGGGTATAGGGTTGGCCAGGTTGGCTACCTGGGCAGGGATGGAGTCGGAGTTTTTCGGTGGGCTGGGACTCTGGGAGAGACCTGAATGGTTGGGTGGACGGGCGGGCCAGGGACGGAAAACTTGCCCCTCGGCGCGCCGATGTCTGTCTGCCGTGCTTGCTTGCTGCCATGGCTGAGACCTGTTGTAGAAATTGAGATGGGTTTATGAACATGCCCTCGTCTTCGTGATTGTTGGGTTGATAGGTAGCCTCTTCTCCGATATGGCCAGGCTCTTACTACCATGGCCAAGCTCTGTAAGTATAAAAAAAAAAGGAGGAGTACCTCCTGTGCGTGCCGGGTTGGTAAACAGAGAAGGACAGGGTTTTGGGTATGTGGAGGTATTATTAAGAGTCGGAGAGGATAGCTTGCCTTTTCTCTGAGGCTAGTCAGTCGCAGCCGTCATAACAGAGAAAGGTCACGGTGTGTTGTGTCTTCCCGGCACCCGTCGAACACTTGATAACATGATGCTCGACGGACCGGAAGAATCCGGGGCTTGAGAGGTCCTTCGGCGTGCTTGTAATGTAACTAGTAGCGGTTTCCATGCGGTTAAGGCAGGATAAGATCTCATTTTCGTGGATCTTATCTGCCCAGGTGGGGTAGATGGAAAAGGAGTAAGTCTGGGGCCTGCATCATGTTGCTCGGGCCGAGTTCTTGGCCTGGGTTTGGACCGGTTCGTCCATACGAGAAGAAGAGGATGGTAATTAGTGTGAAACAGATGGTTAATAGTCCGTTTCAGAGACATTAGAAAAAGTATAAAGGACAAGGTGAGTTCACAAGACTCGATTTCTCTCTCTCTCTCTCTCTCTCTCTCTCTCTCTCTCTCTCTCTCTCTCTCTCTCTCTCTCTCTCTCTCTCTCTCTCTCTCTCTCTCTCTCTCTCTGTCTCTCTCTCTCTCGTTTTGTTTTGGTGCAGACTTTAGCAGGACTATCTTCCATCTTTTTTGTCCTCCATGTCTCCTTTATTTCTGTCTCTTTTTTGTACAGAGACCCCCAGAGTTATTTGAGCCTCGGTCATCTCCAGAGTGATAGAGGGTCGACGTGGAAGGTGTTGTGCCACCGAAGGTAGTGTGGCGAGCGTGGCAGGCCTCGGCCTGGATATTGATGTCTATCTGTTGGGTGGATTCAGGTCGCTCTCAACTCGGGCCTAATGAAAGGTTAGGTGGTGATCACGATGGGAGTGGGACAATGTTTGATGTGAATAAGAAGCCTGTTGCTGCCGGCGGGTAGTAGGAGAAGAGCCCAAGCATACCGGAGGCATATCATCACCGCCCCTTGGCTCGTCCCAGTTGGGGTAGCCGGGGATGTGCACCTGGGCGCTCCACAGCTCACCAAAGTCCATATCAGCCACAGGCACGAATCCTCTGCCCTCGGAAGGTCCAGCACCCCAAAATTCGGTGGTCGAAGTGCTGGCGCCAGACCTACTCGACCGAGCAGGAACCTGTCTTTGCCGTAACCCCCCGCGCGATGAAGGCCCATAAGATGGCAGTGGTGCTTGTGTAGGTGGTGTAGGTGGTGTAGGTGGTGTAGGTGGTGCGGGTGGTGCAGGTGGTGCAGATGGTCCCTTCTGCCTCCTGTTGGTGTGAACTCTCTTCGAGGCTTTTCCCGCGTTCAAAGCCAAACGCTCGTTGCTTCTTTCGACCCACTCGTCGGTGACATCCACGCCCTCGTCGTCGACGACTGTCGGTGGGTGGTGTTAATACTTGCTTGGCCAGGGGAGCATGGAATAGGTAGTCAGTATACAGCTCACCTCGGTAACCAAATTTCATGACAATTTCGTCGGTGGTGTATGTCCAAGCCTCTTCCTTCTCATGGCATTTTGGCTTAGGCCATCTCCTGACGAAGTGCTTGACCATGACGGGCTGGCGCTTTTTTTTCCCTTTCAACTGCAACGGGTTCTCCTTGAATACATGCGTATGGCGGGGGCCCTCGCACTGAACGATGTAATAACCTGGGCCTGCCGCGGGGTATGGAAAGATGAAGTTAACCCCCTCAACCTCATCCCACTGTATTGTGCCCTTTATGGTGCCTCTCTGCCGAGTATGGATGCAGTTAGCATATCAAGGTTCATCGTTAGGGTGTGGTGTAAGGGTCTTGGGGGTAAATCGAACGACTAATACCGGGTTCGAGGTGGCCTCGGGCGAGGGGAAATCATAAACAGTGTTTGAGGGCCCTTCGTGACCTCGCCGTGTCCTTCGTGGTTGGAACTCGGGAGAGCTGGGTCTGCCGTCGTGGGTTCGTTTTCTCTGAAGCGTTTGACGAGTTAGCGACGTTTTTAAGTTTGACGTAACAAGGGGACGAAGGGAGAGAAAAACCTTGTGATGATTTGGCCGAGGGTCGTCGTTCCTAGGGGGTAAATGGTTGTTTGCTTGGACGGCGTCATCGTCCGATGCATCGCTCTCATCACTATCCGGCGCATCGCTCTCTTCGCCTTCCGACGCATCGTCCTCTTCATCGTCGTCCGAGTCGGAGTCGAGGGTAACCGGCTCGATCATGTAATTTTTAAGAAAATTCCCCAGAATTGGAGAGATTCTGAAGCCTCCCTTCTCGCACCAGTGTTTGAGAGAGGATTCGCAAATCTTCTGGCTGAAGGCCTGTCTGTCGAGCACTGTGGCCCGGCAAAGCCTTTCTGCTTCGGCTTCGGTTTGGTTGCTCCGTATCCAAATGGACATCGCCTCCATTGTGGCACTACCCTCCTGTATGGCGGACTCGGTGGCTTGGATAATTCGGTCCTCTCCCCGGGAAGTTGCCTGAGCGGAGGTTTCGTGGTACAGCTTCTCCTGCCCGTCCTGAAGGGAGCGGTGGACGGTTTTGATAATATTTTCGTGGCTATCGGGGAGTTGCTCCATGGTAGGGAAAGACTGACGGTTGAACTTTCCAAGCTCAAGGGTCGAAGCTAAGTATTAAAGACACAAGGAAAGGTGACTTGAGAAAGTGAACCCCAGTATCAAGTTTCGAGGCAACATGCTGCTTCCTTTATAGACGCCCGTAAAGGCGGCAGCAAGGGCGGGAATACACGGCAAAATCATCCGAGAAAGCAGAGAAACCGAGGAAAACAAGAAACTAAAAAGGTAACAGCAATGTTCCAGCCTCGAAGGCAGACTCAGGATGCAGCTGAATGCGCTAGGCAAGGCCGACCCCGTATGGTGGCACAGGAGCCAAGCAAATAGGGTGGGGAGTATCGGCCACTTACAACGCGGCCGGTTAACCCAGGTTTCAGATCGTAAGCTCGGGGGGCCAGTAGATAGTGTTTGTGGGAAGGGGGAGGAAACTGCGTTGGCAAAGACGCAATCCTACAATAGAGTTAGAGGTACCCCAAGAGTCTCTTTTCGCCCGTTTACTCTCCTATTCTCGACGGCGCTGAACGTCTGGGTTGAGCTGAAGCACTTCCGGACCTAACTAGAAGAGCCTTCACCGCTACGGTAACGGCGGACCCACCTGATGGTAGGCCTTTTGTAGCTGTAGACGGGCAATTTTAAAACCAGCACTGTGTGTGTTGGTACTATACATGGAGCTTCGGCCTTCATACCTACAACAACTGTACAGTGTTTGTCTGCTTGCCAGCACCGTTGAAGCTGTACGAAAAGCGCCTCAATGGAGATGATCCCCAACAGAACAGGGAAATCCTTGTAGCTCGTTGCTCACCGGTTGCCGTTGGTATAGCGAGGCGCTCACATCCTGCTATAGATTTTGTACAAGTTCGGTTAATTCTGACTGCATTATAACAGTATGTAGGTAGGCTGTTTTGGTAACCAATCCCTGAAGGCTATTGGGTTTTCGTTAACTGTGATATTCGCTTTTACTGAGAGGAAAAATAATATGACGGAGCACTTTTGGTGGGAGCATGGCCTGAGAGAGGGGGGCAAGGCTTTCTTGGAGCCGCCGAACCCCTGCTAAGCGCCTTCGGTGTTGACCTGTTGGTTCCAGGTTATTCAACAAAATTCAAGGCGCAGGGGGGCTATGCCAGCTTGGGTAGTTGTAATTCTAAAGGGGTGTCTGTCGATTTATTCCCGTCGTGAATCCACTCTGCATAATTTCGTTCTCAAAGCCGGAGAAGTTGAACTCAACCTCCCAACTTTTACCTAGTTAGCACTTTCCTTGCTTAGAATGGGTGCATTTTCTACAACAGACGTTCAAATACTCTGTTTTGTAAGGTGGACGCCACAACCCAGCATTACTCACTTGTCTACAGCTACCAAGTTACCTTATGCCGAGTTTGTTTGGCTTTCGCAAAACAACCCGTACGACATGACCCAAGCGCTGCTCGCACTCGCTCAATAGTACCTACCCAACGCACTATCGGACGGTCGGTGACCGACACTTGATCAATTTTTTACTACCTTTCTTTTTGTTATTTGCAATAGATATAGTAGTGTCCCGCATCAAGGGCAAATAAATCTATCACTAACATTGAAGGTACCAAAGGTAAGTAGAATTTTCCTACGACGGGATATCCATCAGACAAAGATGAACGAAGTTGCCAAGGTGGTGTGGTAGGTTATTTGCACGTTTAGGTACTTTGATGTTAATGCGGCTGTCTTATTCAATACCTCATTGGATCTCGAAGCTTGAGGCAGGGGATTTGTGGGAACAGGTGCATGAACATGGGTGCTTGGCGCGGGTCTCATCAGTGTCATATATCATTAGTTCAGTATCGTACATAGCCAGGATGTCAAGTACACCCAAAGTCAAACCCCAACGCTAGGTAGATGACCCGCAAGTCTAATCGGCAAAGATCCTCACCACCTTATCCACGCTCGTCGTCGCAACAAGGCAGCGGATCTGCACCTCAGACGGAGCCGTCTTCTCCAGCGGCCCTGTATCCTCAGCACCCTGATCTGCCCCTTTCTTGACGATGCCCGGTGCCCAGCGCAGACAGGTGATGAACTGGCCATGCGCATCGGCAAGCACCTTCACGCAACGCCCGTCGTCACCAAGATCCCAGCACCGCAGGGTCTTGTCGTCGGCGACAGAAAGCAGGTACTTGCCGCCTGGGTGAAACACAAGACCACTTACCCAGTTGTCGTGGCCTACCAACGTCTTGATGCAGGTGCCCGTGGAATTCCACAGCTTGATGGTCTTATCCCGGGAGCCGGTCGCCATGAACTCTGCCGTGCTGGTCGAAGGCGGCGGCTTCTTCAGCCCGGCCAACGCTGCCATGTGGACGTAGGACGCCGGCGGGGCAAAGGCACAGCACCGGATACCGTTCTCGTGGCCGACCATAACCAGCTTGCTTTCCGGGTCTGCCGCGGAAATGTCCCACAACCGAGCCGTCTGGTCGGTGCCGGAAGACAATAGAAAGCGTCCGTCCAGTGAGGGAACCACGTCCCGCACCCAGCCGGTGTGGCCCTGCAGTGTTTTTATGCAGTACCCGGCCGTGATGTCCCATACTTTCAGCGTCTTGTCTCCGCTCGCGCTGACAAGTAGGTTTTCGGATCTAGGCCTGCTAGTGACGAACCGGACCGCACTAACGCTGTGATCATGACCGGTCAAGGTCCGGGTATTCTTGTACTCGTCTGCTGGGTCCCACAGCTTGATGGTCGAATCGGAGCTGCAAGATGCGAGAAGGATAGCGCCCCTTGGGCCCCCAAAGTCGATGTCCAGTACGGCCCTCGTGTGACCCTTTAATGTCCTTTCCAGCTCGCCCAGTTCCCAATCCCATATCTTGACAGTGGAATCATCGGACCCAGAGGCTAGTGACGAGAATACCGGGTGAAATGCAAGGCAGTTGACGATGGCTTGGTGGGACTCAAGCGAGTGTCGAGGAGGCGATCTTGGAAGCCAGCTCGTGGGATCTTTACGTTTCGAGAGGGATGCCGGCGTTGAGTGTTCGAGCTCGGATTGCAATGCAACGCTTCTGGACTCAAGATCCATTACCTGAGTTGAAGACCCAGTTAGACATTATTTCCCATGACAGTAAAGAGCGGCGGGAGTCCAGCACGAGGCGAAGCTGTTGAGAACGTACCTTTTTCTGTAAACGGACCACGCTTGTCCATTTCTTCTCGAGTAGGCTCTGGTATTTGGCTGTTTTCTCCGCATCGAAGACATCTTCTCCAAGGCTCAGCTCCTCCCTCAATGTAGCGGCGGTGGTGGACAGGTTATTCGCCGTCAGGTACGCAACGATCGACTTGTGCCTGCCGACATCGTCTCAGCTCGGATCGTAGGTACGGCTGCGGCCCAACGCATACGTACAGTTCGTCGGCCTGCCTGCTCGTCAATACGGGATTCATGGCGAGAATGACCGTAGCCTAGAGAGGGTTCGCGGCCACTCCCGTCTTCAATCCATGCCCTACCCTGGCGATGGCCGTCGGGTTTCGAAAAGAATGGGAGATTTAGATGTCGGGAATTGGCGATCAGGCGCGCCAGTTCAGGCCCCACTTCAACTGTTACCATTCAAGCTTAAATGCACGGACATCTCCCCAACCCCGGCCCATCACCGCCTCCCTACCATCTTCGGCACTCGTCGCTCTTTTAGAAATAGTTAAATACTATTACTGGTATATCAAGAGCGTATCGCACCACCTTACAGTGGCGAAACAAAGCAGTACCTCGCATTATCCATCAGGCCATTCCCTTCCCAATACCTACCAAAATCCTTAGCAGCTCCATCCCATCCAAGCAGATCAGTAAAGAGTGGAATATAGATGCGAGCTCGTTCATTTGGCCCCGGGGACAACGGGCGTAAAAAAAAGAAGAAAAAAAAGAAAAGGGAGAAAGTCCCCAAACAGCCCCAGTAGTTTTTCCCAACGCACAGACGCCAAACAGAGGAAGGCCACAACCCCAAGAGAAACACCACAAGTACTTGTCGCAGCAAGCATGGATACCCAGAGGCCCGCGGACAGCGAAGAGAAAAAGAGAAGAAAAATAATAAGATATTTAGCCTTTTGAGCCAGGCACTGTGGCTAAACCCAACCAAAGAAAGAAAAGAAAATGCCGAGGAAGAAAGGCCCAGAACGGACCCCAGACAGAAAAGGCATATGACAAACTCCAGCTCACTCCCCCAACACAACCCAACACAACCCCTTCACTCCCCCCTCCCCACCCTCCTCCCCCTCCCCGCGCCGCCACTCGCCGCACTCTCCCCCACACCGACCTCCTCCTCCGGCACGCCCACACCCACCGCACTCCCCGCAGCACTCGCCGTGCTCACAGCCCGCTGCCTCGCCACTTGCTGCTGCTGTTGCGGCAGGGACTGTGCCTGCTGTGGTTGCGATTGCTGGGACTGTTCCTTCAGCGCAGCTGCGTCCCGGACCAGCCGCTCCAGCTCGCGGACGCGGCGGCGCAGGGCCTCGTTCTCGCGCTTGTACTCGTCGAGCTCGGCGCGGCGGAGGGCCGTCTCCTCGTACCGTGATGTGGCCGGTAGGATGCCCGGGGATAGCTCGCTTGCGGTGGTGGTGGTGATTGGGGTGATGGCGGCGGAGGTGGGGGTTGTGCCCGTGCCTGTTCCCGATTGTGACCGCATCGGCATAGGCATGCGTGATGTGAAGTAGCCTGGGAGGGAGCCGGGTTCGCTGCCGGGGGTGGCGTGGTGGTGGTGGTAGGGGTGGCTGCTGCTGCTGCTTCTGTGGGCGGCGGGGGACGGGGAGCCCGTGCGGCTGCGGCGGGAGGCGCTGCTGTTCTGCCGGCTGAGGGCGATGCCGCCGATGGCGATCGGGGTCTGGGCGGTGGGGCGGACCGGCACCGGGGAGGAGATGCCCGCGAGCGAGGTGGTGGAGACGGAGCCGGCGTTGGCGGTGAGGCTGCGGGCGCTGGCGCTTGATGAGGTGCGCTGGTGGCGGACCGGCTGGTAGTGGCTTGTGCCTAGGCTGGGTTGGGACATGTCACCCCACTGGCCGGGCTCGGTACCCGACGCGCTAGCCGATGTGGAGGAGGCGTTCGAGACGACCGAAGCGTTCTGCGCGGCGCGGAGGATCGAGAGTTCGCGGGTGAGGCGGTTGACCTGGGCAATGCGGTGTCAACTGGTGCATCGCTGGTGTGGGCCGGGGGGCGTTAATTCTCGGTGTTTACATACCACCGCTTCTTGTTCCTTTTCAAGTTCAAGATGGAGATCTGCCGCGGTCAAGGGGCGCGGATGCCGTAGGGGTCCGGGCCCGGGCCCAACACCAGTATTATCGTTCATTGTAGGGCCTGGAAACGAGGTCGACGCCTGAAAACCCGGAGACGGCAGACTCGGCGGAATGGAGGCGTTGACGGTGCTCTGGTTCGAGGGGAGAATGTTGAGCGAAGGTGAGCCCGGGGCGGGCGGGGGCGGCATTTGTTGAGAAGATGCTCGGCGCGACAATCCTGCGAGTGCGTGTGGTGAGGGAGGTACCGAGTTGAGATCGGGCATTGCGAGGTCGTGGTTGATGGCGACGTTGGCGGTAAAGGTAAAACACTAGCTGGATGGGAGAGCAACGGCTTTGTACTGCCGGTCCACCTCTAACCTGAGTAGGGAATGAATCGCGGTGTCGCGGTAGGTACCCAAGTTCTGACCTCGAGTGCGATGGTGAAGGAGTGTTTCACCAGCTGGCGGTCAAAACAAAAGAGACCAAATAACCTAGTCAATGAATGGCATGGTACTATGGCCGTTTATGCGGCCTGTGGTGGTTTTGGAGAAGGCGGAGGAGAACGGCAGAGAGCCCCACCCAACCGTGACACCGAATAGAAGACCCCACCTTGAGTCCACCGGCAGGGGTTGCATGCCAAGAAGATGGGACCACTGAAGGCAAGCGGCAGCCAGCAAGGTACTGCCGAAGGTCATGATGTAATGCTTTGGATGACGGATGAAGAGGAGCCCTGATGTCAAAGGGCAGGTTCATCGCATATAAAAGATGGACAACCCTAGCTCTTGCTCTATATTCAGTTTATATCTCAACAACAATCCACACTTAGAAGTAATTTTGCAGACGAAACTCATCATCTCCCATGTAAGCGAACTTGAGTCCTTTTCTTGGCAATTGTTCTAACACATCGCGACCTCAGCTTCTTTGCAGAACTGCGCAGTACCATCTACAAGTACTTAAGCAAATCCAATTCTCTCAACAAATCCAAAATGCCCGAGCGCGGTCAATCACCTCCCCCGGAGCGGTCCACGGGCAAGCAGATGCATGATGCGCCTGGATCCGGCAAAGGAATCGACGACGCCACAAACAAGGAGGACGTTAACAAGAAGGCTATTGAGGTTGGTTTTTCCCTTGAGCTGAAATGCTGGGCATTACGCTAACACAGAGTAGCATTTGACATCCAACCCAAGAGGTCCCATGGAGGACGAGGTTGAGAAGAAGTTTGAGAAAGGGTTCCACCCAAGTGAATGAGCGGTGGTATGATGTTTTGCTGGGGCTTGGCAGTCTTCAATTTCTATAACTACTGTATAGTTAGCATGTCTCAATCCAACAACGTTTAGAAACCACAGGACAAAATACCCCCCAATAAATTTAGGAGTGACTCGTCATGGACACATCCTCATAGTGGATATTTCTGCTTTCGGACAATCGTCATCTCCTGTGGCAGACCTTTCCCTCATCCACAATCACATGCATAAAGCGAAGATGCGCGCAGCTCAGCCACAGTGTTCAGAGCGGGCAGTGCCCCGCAATCAGGAGATGACGACATGTTCGCCCCTCCCCCTCGAACAGCTCCTCCTTGGCAACGAACACGCGCGTCCGAACTCCCAGCCGACTAGAAAAGTGCCGAAACATCTTGCGCTTTGGATATTTCCTTCCAGAAACATCATACGATTGTCGTTTTGCGTAACCCAAATTGCGGCAAATCCTTAAAACACCCACACAACCATTCACTCCAACTCAACACTTCACTTGTGCATATCAGCAAAACATCACCAGTCGCAGCTCTCAAGATGGCGACTACCGTTTACGTCAAGAATGTCGGCAGCCAGACCGACGATAAGGAGATCAAGGACTTTTTCAGCTTCTGGTGAGTTGCGTCCTCTTCGGGACCTTACCCCCTCCCGTCGCACACAGTGCAGTACACTAACCCCGCCCAGCGGCAAGATCGCCTCCATCGACATCACCACCGAGGGCAGCCTGAAGTCGGCCACCGTCACCTTCGAGAAGGAGACGGCCGCCCGAACCGCCCTCCTCCTCAACCACACCCAGCTCGGCGGCAACGAGATCACCGTCACCGGCGACAACATCTCGACCCCCCCGCACGAGTCCTCCGGCGGCGTCGCCGACACCAGCGAAACCGACCGCGACTCGGTACTCACACAGGAAGAAAAGCCGCGCAGCCGGATCCTGGCCGAGGTTCTGGCACACGGATACCTGGTGGCGGACCAGGGCCTGCAGAAGGCGATCGCGCTGGACGAGCAGCACAACATCACGTCGCGCTTCGTGGGCACGCTGCGGCAGCTGGACGAGCGCACCCACGCGACGGACCGCGCCCAGGCCGCCTACGCCAGCTACGGCAACTACGTCATCCCCCCGGCCAACTCGCTGCTCACCGGCCTGGGCTCCTACTTCGAGAAGGCGTCCAACACCCCCACGGGTAAGCGTATTGTGGACTTTTATACCACCAGCCAGCGCCAGGTGCAGGATATCCACACCGAGGCGCGCCGTCTGGCGGAGTTGAAGAAGGAGGAGACGGGCGGGAGCTTGTATAAGGGGCTTGGGCTGGACAAGGTGCTTGGCCGATTCCAGCAGGGCGGTGCGGAGAGGGCGGCTGCCGCGGCCGAGGGGTCCGAGAAGAAGGATGTTCCCGGTGGCGCGCCGGCCGATGCGGTGGCGACGGAGAACGCGCAGAAGCCGGTTGCGCCGTCGGGGACGGGGAATCCGGAGACCATTCACTAGGGAGATCAGTTGGAGGGGCGTAGTTTGGTCTTGTTTCTTTAGCCGTGTGTCTGGGTTGGGATTTATAGTATCGCCTCCTTTCTCGTTGTCTTGCGCTGCGTTTCATAGTACCGGGGAAATTGGCATTTGAACTTGTTTTGCCCTTTGCTATCTTTGCTTGTCTGTTGCTTGATCAATGAGCTAACAAATCGGTATCGTAGTCATTGGGCTCATGGTTCCTATTTCTCTCGCATCCGTCCATTGAGTTAGCTGTTTTCCCACCTTTATTATCTACGCCATCTTAATGACACATGGACTTTGTTTGTGTCCTCCCCGTTACCTTCTTTCCACAGAGTGACGACCGCTGATGATCTTTGTTCCGCTGTGGGCTGAGTTGGCAAGAACTCTTTCCCGCTCACGTGACGTCAGCGGCAGGGTTAAGGTGGAAGTACGGAGCGTCAAACCCTCCTTACTCCCAAAACCCAAATCGCATTCGGAATTTCATCCACACACCCCACCGTTGCACCTGCAAACCTTCACCAAACCTCGCTTTCAGCAATTAATCCACTTCGCATGCAACAACGGGAATAAGATTGTATTCAGCCACATTACGCCACGTCTTGCGCATCAAGCTTCTTCCGGTTAGATCATCCTTAATTGTACCGATCAGCTTGTCACTAACATTCTTTTCAAGCGCACCTGTCTCGAGATTGTACCGACCGGCCGTTTTCCTGTTTTGAAAAATATAAGGATCTCATCATCATCGTCAGAGTTATACTCATTGGCTTCAGACTCGCTAGTCTCAGGCTCCTCCTTAACTCTTTCCTCCTGATCCTTCTTTGTCACCTTGTCCTGCTCTAACCTAGCCTTCTTCGACAAGACAGAAAGACCCCCCACAAGCTTCGAGCTTGACGCAATGGCTGTTAACCCCTGGGTATCTGATCGAGCACGTTTTGCTGTCTTCTTGACAGCTAGGTCCTCCCTTTCCTCCCGTACGACAGGGTATAGTTTCTCCTTGAAGAGATACAGAGACACATTCTCATCAGGCTTGACATTCCCCCTATTTGTTGTTGCATTGTGAAGGTCACGGAATGTGACAGGCCTCTCTGGATCAAGGCTAGTCACCTCAGATACTTTCTTGTTCTTGCCAGCTGAGAGTTTGCCGATGAATCGAAACTCAGATGGTGCAAACTTCTTGGCCCTGCAGGCATTGTCAAGCAAGTACCGGATAATGTGTTCGTGATTGGCAAAGTGCTGATCAAGAGGCACTTGGACTGGAAGACAAGAGCTGATTGAGCCAACTTCAGTCCATCGACGAGTCTCCTGCCCCCCGATGGTGACAACATCCACATCCACAGCGAAGACCTCCAGTGTAATTGAGATCACAACTGGAGAAGGTTGAACAGGCTTGACGTTTGGGTTTGGAGAGTTGCGTTCGGCAAGAGCAGTTGAGTGAGCTTTGTTGAACCCAGTAAGTGCCTGCCCCGCTTGAGATGGACGAGGGGTAGTTGTAATATCAGGAGTCGACTGGGTAGGCTGGACAGACTGGCTAGGTTGGGCAGGAGGTATAGCGACAGGCGAAACAGGGGTTAGGGCAGAATTGGCTGAAATTCCATGATCCGAGTCGTCGTCAGAAACGAGGTCGAGCAGGAGCGTAGTCTTGCATCTCTTGCAGACCTCCGTGAACTTGGCGTGTTCCGGTAACAGGGCAAAAGGGGTCCAACATCTGGTGGGGTAGGGCAGGAGTGGTTCGATCAAGCGTGATTGAACGCAATCAAGCTTGAATAAATGTGTCTTAGAAGGAAAAAAATAGAGTAACTAAGATTTTAAGAAATAAATATGTGGGCGATGAAGTTTAAATATTGAAAATCAAAAAGGATAACTAATCCTTGAAAAAAGAATTTGTTTCGGTGTGAATTATATTTGTGGAATCTTTGTCTGCCAACCCTGACGAAAATTTTTCCTTGCAGGTGACCCAATCTTGGGACATGGGTTTCACGGAGTTAACAGGAAGAAGAGGAAAGGACTTGAGCTTGGATGTCAAGTCTTTAGCGCTCTCATTTTCCCTGTCTGTCGGCCACTGTTCCTTGCCTCCCTAGCTAGGCCTAAAAATATAGACCAGCCCATTTCACCTCCGCTGTCTCTTCGAGGGGGTGGTGCTTCTCCGAGCTGGGCTCGCCTCGCTCTCTCTCTTCTTCTCCTTCCGCAAAGCAATTATCTTCTCCGCAAGCTGAAGTTGCTCCCGTAGCTCCTGTTCCGACATCTGCTGCCCCATGGACATCTTGAAACCCGGGTACTCCTTGTACTCTTGCTCAAGCAGCTCTTCCTCCTTGGCATTGATAATTTCTAAACTTATTAGCAAAAGAAACCACCTAGAACCTTTGAAGAAACTGACCTTGACGGAGCGAGCATAAGTGGCCGGTACCAGAGTAGTAGCAATTGGTGCATGCACCATTAAGGAACGCCATACCCGGGCAATGGCATCTAACTGCCGGCCCAGTGCTGTTGCTTGAGGAGCATTGCTGGCAGATATTGCGGGAGGGATCGCGCTCGGTGAAGAGGTAGGTCGCAATAGCCGTACATTGCATCTGGGCGTCCAGCTTCCAGGGCGCATCACTCACAGCTGATCCTTTCCGGAGCTGCTTAGGAATCCAGAGCTGCTTGACAACCTGGGAATGTGATTAGCGATAGAGAAAGATTTTTGAAATGGAATCGATTTGTCTTACGCCATCAGCATCAACGATCGCGCGAGCTATGTTCGAGCTGCACTGGCGGAGCTGGTTGACAATCCATGCTGTCGTCATAATGTCTGTCTCGCAGTTGCTACGAAGGTCGGGAGGATTGGGCAATGTGACCCCTTTGTATGTGAAGAATGACATCGGCTTCGGAGCCATGGTCTGCTTGAGCCGCGATTGATGAGCGAGCAAGAAACTTAGTTTCTAGAATTGAAAACTTACAGGTCTCGAAGTCGCGGGCGAGGTGGTGGGCAGGACATTGTTAGCGACAAGCTCGTCGGTACAATCAAGGATGATTGAACGTCATGGAGCTTCATGCGCGGGAGGCGGGGTAATGTGGCTGGAGATGATCTGGTTGCCGTAATTGCATGCGAAATGGTTTCAGTTTGCAATCGGGGTTTGGTTGGGGCTTCTGGCACTGGTGGGGTGAACCGAGTGAAAATTTTGGAGGCGATTTGGGTTTTGGGAGTAAGGAGGATTTGACGCTCCGTATGGAAGTGTCAGTGCGAACGAGCGATGGAAACTTGCCCTGGAACCCGGACCATGTTCATGAATTATTTTCCGGATAACTATGCACACTAGTTAATTATTCACTCGCTCTCATGCAAGCTTTCGTTCCACTTTGGTGTTTTCCACATCGGCACGCTGCTGTGCAGTGGCGATCCAGCGGGTGTGCGTCGTAGCATGAGGGTCGGACTAGCAGGTTGGATCGGTGACAACCAGCCAATCCCCACTGTTGACTCTTTTCTTTGCAGCTGTGGCTTTCGAGGCATATCACACTATCTTGCGATTTGTGGAGTTGTGAGTCGATCACCAAAGCGCAACATCCATCTGCCCACTCTCAGACAAGCCACCCAGCCACCTTTGTAAGATTTCCACGCTCAAAAATACCCCCACCGTTACGTTGCGGACGTTTCTACTATCCTTGGGAACCTAACGCCATGAAGGTAGAGAGCAAGATTGGTAATCTCAGCGAGAAACGCTTTTGAATCTGTCATTCGACATACCTAGACGTACCAGATGATATCTTGAAGCGCTCGAGGCCGAACGATAAATTGGGGTTTGCGGGCTGTTTGCAAGTTGCAGCTCCCAAGCATAATAAGCAAAAGGATGGAGATATGATTCGTCTCGGCGATTTCGATCCATCTGCAAGTAAGGTAAGTATCTTCGCGCAGGTCTCAAATTCAAAGTTCGAACTTCTGTGATTCGCCAACAAGGCTCGCATGCACGATACTTATGCAAGGATATGTTCAGCTGTCCACACACGGCCACGTCACTCTACACCTACAGGCGAAGGCCAGCTCTTGTGCGACACAGGTTTTTGACGTTGCGGCTGAGAGAGGATGGGGCCGTGGATACCCCTGAAGATGGCAATGGCTGTCCGAAGCTTCGGTTGTCGTGAAGCCAACTCTGTCCCTCACAAGCTTCGAATGGTGACGCAGACGACGACGCAATCAGCCTAATTCGAGTGAGCTTTGACATCGATTTGCCCTTGCAAAAATCCCTTACTTCGGGATGGTCACCGCCAAACCGCTTCGGCTCCTCGCCGGGGCTTCCCTCGTGGTATACGTTGCCGCTGATGCCGGAGATGATTTCTCCAACAACTTGTTTTCTGGCTTGGCCCCGAACGTGAGGGATTCAGACCGCACTAGGAATGATATGGCGCTGACTCGAGTGTCATTTATAGGCTGCTGGCGCTGTTCGGGGAGAGGGTCACCATGCAGTTCATGAGCCAATCTACAGGATGGGCCGACCTCATCATCCTGGCAATGGCCCCGCTGGGTATCATCACTGCAATTGTTGGGGCCATTAGGGTTGGTGGCCCGACGTGGCTTCGGGCCATCATTGGAAGAGCAAGAGAGAGCCGGGCCGTCGTTGAGGCCGAACTGATGTCCTCGACTTCGCAAGAGGTGTGCGAGCTCTGGAATGGTCGGGAAATTGTGAGGGTAATGGGAGCGGGACCCATCCGTGAATTCATCATCTTGTTACCCGGGGAGGATGGCAAGGATCGAGAGCCGGTAAAGGAGATCCAGGTGAAAGGATTGAAGGATTGCAAGAACGAGGAGCAGGAGACTGAGGACTACGAGGCCGAGGATCAGTATCTCAAAAACACGGTTAGCAGCCCAAGCCTGCGCTGCCTGCCGAATCTAAGTGCTAACAGTTGTCCTAGTGCATACGTTTCGAGACAGCATCTTCGACCCCTCCAAGATAGTCGGGATGTTTAAATCGATCCTCAAGAAGAACTCTCCACGCAGCGGAGATCCCGAGGTTGCTTTGCACGAGGCCCCTAATGGCATCAATGCCAATGTGCCTAACATGGGCAACGATCCGGGACCTGGAACCAAACCTGACGGCCGTCCGGTCGCCGCGATTCGGAATCTGGACGCACCCGCCCCTAGCCTCACGCTCAACGTACAAAACCAACTAAGCAGAGGGGAATTGTATCTCGTTGCGGCGCTCGGTACTCTCCTTCAGTTCGGCGTGCTCGTCTTCTCCGGGTGTGCTACCTATCACCCCGCCCTCAGATCTAGGTGGCTCAAAGTTGACAACCCCGCCGCCGACTACGCCTTTCCCTGCAACGCCGCGGGGACCCTGCTCTTGGTGACGGGTGTGCTGATTTGTGCCCACGTCGTCGAGGGCAGCACATCAGAAACAAGATACCGACCGGTCGAGGGTGAGGCTCGTGTCGTGTGGCTCCAAAAGTCTGGTACCGTCAATGACCAGGCCTTCGAGTCATTTGCTGTATTCCCCGGCAACCACAATCCCTGATTACAACGTCCCAGCGCTGGGACGTTGGGGGTTCAAAACCCATACTTGGAGAGGCTGTCGCCGTCATCGGAGCAATGGTCAGCCTCTGTGGCTTCGTCGCGCAGTTCGTTGGGCTGCGCCTGCACTGGTCGTCATCGATCGCCCAGCTCATCGCAGTTTCCATCATGGTGGGTCTCAGAGCGTTGGTTCGCCGCAATCTGGCACAGTTGCCGGCGTCTCGCCGCTTACTTTCGGGCCACGAAATGGACTGGCTGGCCATGACTCTCGCCGATGATGACGCGAGAGCTTCGCGGTTGAATCCCCCCAAGGACGATGGGGATACCCGGCCCGGGAACGACGGAGATAGCCCCCAGAACGGCGGGGAGTCGAATCAGCAGAGCAGGCCATGGGATTGGAAACCCACTGCGGTTGAGGATCCGGCAACCCTCCCAGCCTACCAAGATGCCAATGGATCGGGTAATTAGGGCCCAAAGGGCAATGACGCTAAGAAGAGACCTTGGTGAGGTGGCAGGCTGGCAGGGGCCAGCGTCCACCGAGGCAATCGCTCTAGTTCGTGCGATTGAAATCGCCATGGACACACTCTTCGACACGGAATCAGAAGGAAATGACAAATTTATCTGGCATCTCCCCATTTCCAGCTCTTTGGAGGGGTTTCCCCGCGAAAAGATAACCTTTCGTGTGGAGCGATTCAAAGCGGGCACTGGAAGGCTTTCTCCGACGAGTTCGAGGCTGCGCTCTCATTGTGGCTATACTCGGTGGCCGAGCTCGAAGACACCCCCGATAATGATCTGGGAGGCGACAACCAACAACTGACGCCTGGGGATCGCCAGACAAACGAGTGGGGGCGCCTCGAGTTCAAACCTATGCGATCCAAAGATGATATGTGGCTGCGAATCAAGGGAAAACAGGCAAAACGCAGCCTCCAACTCCTAGGCAAATCCACCGAGACATTGGTTCGGAATCTCGGGTGGTGGATACCTAGAATCAATAGTTATACCAGCGTTATTGGGGTGCGCATGGACAACGAGCGGACGTACAGTGACAACGTGATCAAAGTGGACAACCACCGCATAGTCGGATATGCATCCGATTGGGGTCCTGGCTTGTTTATATATACAAGAATCCCATCGACTTCGACGTTGGCACTTCCCTTGGCGACGACAGTTCTACTTCTGGCGATGATAGTTCTGCTTCTGGCGATGATAGTTCTTCTGACACGGATAGACCTACCTGGACCATAGCCGCCAACTCATCCACCCCCCTGGCCACCCTATTTGCCCAGCACATGTTTACCACTTTCATGCGGGCAGCAGCAAAGATGAAGTCACCATTCCCTGGTAGAGCGGACATTCGGCCTTTGGAGAGGGACAACGCACCTTCGACATGGACGTCGTTCGCACTACGCAACGCCAAACTCCACAAAATGGTCCAGGACATCCAAGGCACCGGCCTTGGAAGCCTGGAAGACGTCTACCTGGCCATCATCTCACCTCTGAGTATTGAACGAAAGTTGCCACAACCCGACGCCATCATTGAATTGGCACGAAAGCACGCCAATACGCATAAGCAGTCAAGGCAGCTGAGACAGAGTGAGATGACGAGTGTTTACTTGTGGTTTATTCGAGTAGTGAAGGGGCTACAAGAAGATATAATGATCCAGGCACTCGCCCTTATGATGGATCACTTGAGGGCTTCTATCGATACCCTTGAGCTATTGGAATGTCAACACGTTCACGGCTCAGGCATTCACGACTCAGGCATTCAACTGTTGAAACGTGACAGGGAGAAAATTACAAAAGTGCTGCAGGATGTTGACGCCGGAGTGTTGGCGTTCATGTTGAGACTATACCAGCTACAAGGACGACCTTGGAATTGTCCCTTGCTCAAATTGCCTAGCCCTGTTGATGCTTCGTACTTGATTCGGAAGCTCAGGGACCTTGGCCTCGACGTTCATGTATGGGCTCTGGACCGCTCCGACCGAAGCCCCACCTCAGTTCTTCTACGTGGCATGGAAAATGTACGGGGTTTAGAGAAGAGAGACATGCTCGATTGGACACCACTCTACTATACGATCCAGCATCAACAGGACGGCAAACTGGCCAGCTGCCTGGGCCAGAGACCGGACGTCAATGCACGAGACCTTAGCGGACGAACACCATTGCATTATGCTTGCCAGGGTCTCACGACGTCCAAGATACAACTTCTCCTGCAGGCAGGCGCGGACATAAACGCACGAGACGACGCTGGAATGGCACCTTTGCACCATGCAGCCCGCTCCGGGAGTGGCGAAGGGGTGCGATTGTTGATCGAAGCTGGGGCAGATGTAAACGCGGTAGATGGGTTTGGAAATGCCCCACTGCACGATGCTGCGTATGCGGGAAGTAAAGCAACTCTAATGGGGTGTTTAGAGTATGCGAACGTCAAGTTGCGCAACCACAGTGGGAGGACGGCCTTGCATCTGGCTGTGATAGGGGAAAAGGGTAGTGTTGAGGAGAGGCAGGAGGTAGTCAAAGTCCTCATGGAGAGGGCGGGTGTCGACAAGGAGGCAAAGGAGTTCATGAACCTCACGCCGCTACATTTGGCTGCTCTATCTAGGCACAAGGCCATCGTCAAGCTCCTTGTCGAACAGGGCGTTGATAAGGAAGCTAAAGACATATATGGTGACAGGCCATTGCATTTGGCTACTAGATTTGGGCACCAGGCTATTGTCAAGTTTCTTATCGAACAGGGCACTGACAAGGAAGCTGGGGACAAGTATGGTAGAAGGCCATTACACTTGGCTGCTGAACATGGGCAGGAGAATGTTGTCAAGCTGCTCATCGAACAGGGCACTGACAAGGAAGCTAAACGCTATCGTGGTGGTATGAGGCCATTACATTTTGCTGCTGAACATGGGCAGGAGAATATTGTCAAGCTTCTTATCGAACAAGGCGCTGACAAGGAAGCTAAATGCGAGGTTAGCAATGAAAGGCCATTGCACTTGGCTGCCAGGAAGGGGCACGAGGCTGCCGTCAAGTTTCTTGTCGAACAGGGCGCTGATAAGGAGGCTAGAGACTATAGTGGTCGAACGCCGTACGAGGCTGCTATTGAGGCGGATAAAAAAGGTGTGTTGGAAATGCTTGTTGAGGCTGTGATATAGTGCAAGGTTATTTCTCGTTCTGTTGGTGTTAATACAGAATGCTCCCATCTGTTGTTGTGTGATGTGATTTACACTATTGGTATAGATATATGTGCGACATTGCGCCCGTATTCCCTCACGTATTCATAGCGAAGCCTTATTAATTATGTACAATGCTACATTGCTGTTCCGCCCGACGTCGACCAATACCATACCCGTCTAAGTCCCCATCGGCGCCAGGCCCGACCTTTGTCCCGACCTCCGAACGGAGGTCTTGGTCGACCCTCGCTGCTTTATATCCCCCTCTCGAGCGCGATGTTGAGCTTCAGCCTCCGATCCGGAGCTCGAGCGGGAGCTAGACCTGGAAACAGCCCGAGAACTAGAGACAGACCGCGCTCGTCCGCCAGGGCGCCGGCCGTTTCCACGGTCGTGGTCGTGGTCACGGTCACTACCGTGCTCGTACGGCGGCCGGTCACGGTGACGGCGTCTGCCGCCGCCGCCATGCTGATACCCACCATGACCACCACGCTCATACCCATCATCTCCGCGGTAGCGGTCAGGCTCATACGAACGGTCATCAAACCGGCCACCACCATTACCGTGGTACCCAGCACCATCATCACCACCACCATCATCGCCATAATACGAAAACCGCCCCCCCACCCCCGGGGCCACCCCCCGGTAATAATGCCCATCATGATGATAGTCATCGCCGGCCCACCCCTTCCCCCCCCACCCCCCAATTTCCAACCCCCACCCCCCCCTTTTCCTCCCCCACGACCATTACCCCTATCCCGGGCCCGAGCACCCTCCCCCCCGGCGCTCATCCCGGCGCCCATCCCGGCCCGCCTCGTCGGTGTGGAGAAGGTCGGGGCCGTCGGGCGCACGCTCAATGCGGTGGAAGGCCAGCTCGCCGTCCGACACGCCGAGCAGGTCGCGGCGCATCTTGTCGAAGGAGGCGGTGGCTTGGGCGACTTGTTTGAAGTGCGCTTTGCCGAGGTAGGGGGCCGCGGGGGGCTGGTCTTGGTGTGGTTGGGGTTGGGGTTGGGGTTGTTGGTGTTGGAAGCGGGCTAGGGAGGCGGCGATCTGGAAGGCGTTGCGGATTTGTCGGCCGTTCCAGCGGAGGGCCTTGTCGCCGTTGTAGTGCTTTGTGGCAAATTTGAGGATCTCGTTCTTGCGGATCTCCATTGGTTGTCTAGCGGGTCCGGGGTTTGGACTCGCTTGCTGGGCTTTGAACCGCACCTTTTCGATGTCTTCGAGGCGTTCGATGTTTATTTTGAACAGTTCGAGTGTTTGGTCGAGGGTGAAGGCTGGGTAGTTCAGGTTCACGTGCACGCGTGATTTGACCGCCTCGTCGAGAACCCCGGGGCGGTTTGTGGTTAGGAATAGGATTCCGGGGTAGTATTCCAGTGTTCTGAGGAAGACTAGGAGGAATTGTTAGTATGTGGAAGAGATCGGAAATGGTGAATCTAACATACTTGATACCTAAAGATTCAAAGTCAACATTACCCCTTTTTCAAAATGTTTCAGGAGTATGTCGGAGGGGGGGTGGAGGTGACGTACCATGGCATTACGGGTGACGCTTTCGTCGCCTTTTTCTCTCTGGGACAAGAAGATGTCGGCTTCGTCCAAGAGCAGGATGCTGTTTGTCCTATCAGCCATGCCGTACCAGTGCACAGTCAAACGCTACGAGTCAAATAGGATAACAAGGCAACAAAGGGTATAAGAAAACACATACCAGTCCCAGAGATTAGCCAGGCGAAAGATCTGCTTCAGTCCTCCCTCAACGGACTCAGGGGTAGTGCCGAGATCACCACAGGTGATTAGGAACAGCGGCCGCTTGTATAAGAGAGCCACAGCCTCGGCCGTGGCTGTCTTGCCAACCCCCGGCGCACCGTGCAGCAAAATCACCAGACCCTTGCCCTTGCCCTTGATAAAGTCCTGGTCTGGCAGTGTCAGTTCGAGGTCCCCGTTGTCGCCGGTTTTGCCCCTGTTAGAGACAGCGAGCTGTTGGAGCTGCCCGACCAACATCTTTTTCTCGAAATGCTCCTGGACGATGGAGAGGATCATGGTTTTGTGCTCAGGGTTGATCATGAGCGAGTTGAATGGGCTCTTGTCCCCGGATGGCCAATGGGTTTCTCTCACGGAGGACACGTCGGCGTTGAAGAATTTCCTAACCATTTCCTCTCCATCAGCATAGTCTCGTCACTTTGATGGGTATTCAAAGGCCGCTGTCCTTACCTGTCTCGCAATGCGTAGGCCATGACTCTCCCAGGAAGCAGGACAAAGTCGCGATCCGCAAAGACCTGGTCTTCTGCCCTCGTGTTGTCGCCTGGCTCGCTGCTACTGAACCGATCAGTTTGTAGTAAATTGTTCCATAGGACGCTCGCCACGCGGTCATCGGCGACGACTAACTCGCGCACCTTGGCGGCGGCTTCCTTCTCGCGACTCTCATCGGCCCAGCACATGATGGGAAAACTGTCATAAACCATGTCGGGCATGATGTCCACGCGGGACTTGGACATGTCAAAGTTGGGCCGCCAAGCTGGTATGCTGTGGTAGGCTTCTTGGAAGTCCATAATGATGGTGCTCGAGATATACTCTGGTTGGATTTGAGCCACCGGGCCGACGCCCAAGATATCGCGTATGGTCTCGCGCATGGTGTCTTTTAACCACGAAGAGCTCTCGGTCTGGAGGGTCATTGAGATGGGTTTCCCGAGCGGCGTCGTCGTCCGCGACCAGCCGTCGTATTCGAAGGCCCGTCCGCTACCTGCCTCGGTGACGAGCTTGCGGAACTGCTGGCCCCTGCGGCAGAGCTGCCCGAGCAGGCTCTCCTCGTTCTGAAGGAACCGTATCGGAAAGACGGGTAGCTTGTGAATCTCCATCTCGCCGCGGAAAAACTCGATCTCAATGTAGGTGCTGACTGGGGCGAACTTGGTCCCGTCGTAGTCGATGTAGAACCCCTCCACGCCGACTGGCTCTCTTGACGACCTCATCCGGTAGTCGTCATCTGGGTCGTCGCCGGCGTTCATATCCCACTTGTATCTGGGTATGTCGATCCTCTTGGCGCGGATGACGGAGTGCGTATCGACTGACGCAGAGGCGCCCCCCGATGGCCCATGAGATACGGTCCGGAGGTCATCGCCTCCGTTGAAGTAAGGGCCGAAGGGAGCTACGCGGTCGTGTCTGCGTACCGCGACCGAGTTGTTGGGGCGGCAGAGAAGCTCGCCATAGCGGAAGAGACACCAGAGATCATCGAACCGGATCTTCTTGGGCTCGCTGTAATTGGCCTTGTCGAACTGGTTGTAGTGCGGTATCAGAGTGTCGTCGACGAATTTGACGTAGCATTGCATCTGCAGGTAGGCTTCTCCGGTCTCCATGGCCTCCGCTAGGGTCTCCTCCTTTGTCAATGGCCTGATCTCGCGCCGTTGAAACGTAGCTTCCTCGCCCCTTTCCCCAGCATGCGCAGGGACAAACCTGTCTCCCAGCCTCTTTAATTCCGTCCGCATCATATCATGGTGGTGGATTAGGAAAGCAAACGGGATTAGGAACGTGTGTGGCTCGGCAGGCCACGGGCTGTTGCCGCTGGCACGAGCAAGGTATCTGTTGACGTTGGTTGAGTTGATGCGGATGCGCTCGAACGGAAGCCCGCTCGTCCACGTAGCCGCGTGTCTGGGTTGCGTAGGGCGTCGATATCCGGTCAGGTACTTCTCCCTCCTTTCAGCGTCCATGCGTCTCAGACGCTCCACTTCAATGTCCTCGTCCAGCGTCTCACTCGTCATCAAAAGCTCGACCGTCGCTATTTCAAAGCTTGCCTTGTCCGCATTGTGGAACCGGTTCTTGAACTGCTCCCACGTGCACTTGACGACCTTGGGCTCGGTGTGGAGATAGAGGCTGTCATGCCCTTCCTGCTTCACCTTTAGCGCCGCTGGCTTAAGGCCTTTGGGATGGCCGGGTTGAGGCGGCTCAGAGTCAGGGTCAGAATGTGATACCACGAGGGGTTTGACCAGGACCGCAGAGTCCGGCTTAGGAGTCACCTCCTCTTTGTAGGCCATGTTCGCTGCAGGCGGAGAAGGCACAGTGACACGTTTGCTGCCTGGGTTTGGTGTCTGGGGACGATGGACATGCGAACGGGGGTATTTTCGGGCACAAGACAATGTTGATAGCACAGCAGCCATGCCCCTCTCCCATCCGAGTAAACGTATTCTTGTATGATACAGCACGCCAGGGGGTTGCGAGCCCCTCGGTATCCGGGTGACGCTTTTGTCGGTTCAAGAGTCAAGATGAACAGGAGAGGAAGGAGAGCTACGAGAAATTCTAGGGGGAGATGTGATGGTGGTATTGGGTTAGGACCGGGAAGACGGCGTGGCTTTTACGTTGCTCCTGGCTTGGTTAAGCCCTCGCCTGGAGTTCCCCGGCAAGCATTCCCATCCCACATGTTGCGTGACGTTACACAACAGCAATAACAAAGAGATTGGCGCACTCAAATCCAGTCGGAATCCGTGGGCGCCATCTTGGTGCTTTTCTGAGCGGGGCAGAGCCGCAGAGCACGCGGTCACAACCACGTCCTGAGCAACCAGTAACCACCCCTGGTTCAAGCCCTCCCTTAGCCATGAACATGACGACTCCGTGCAGCATCTCTGACGTGGCACGCACAGAGCAAGTACGATCGACGAGTTGGATGAGGACCCCGAATATCTTGCGCAATATTATGAACCCAGAACATATCTTGAAAACGGAACCAACCCATCTCCTACATGTACCTACCCAGGTATCTACCTATGTAGTGTATACCATAATACCTTACGCCTGTAGCTAATTGAGACTGTAATACACCGCCACACCCCCGATTGATTCTCTCTTGGTTGATGTGTACTTATGTTGGTCAACGTCGGAAGAAAATGGATGCGGAGAATCCGCTCTGCAGAAAGCCAAAGCTGAAGCCAGGGGGTAAAGGTGGTGTTCGGCTTGTCATGCCGTTCCCAGTTCATTATGTATCACCCCATGCTCCCGCCCTTGATTCGGGTCAGCATGCATTCAGTGTGCTCATATCAAGGTATGTAATTGGCTCCCTAAAAGATGGCTTGCAGCTCCAGCTTTCTTCATCCTGCTGTCCTCCCGGGATCTCGCATTCCCCCACGCTCCTGCTATCGCCCATTTCGGGTCCCGGATCCGCAAGTGACCGGATCTCCTCGGTAGACTCCCAAGAGTCGCCCTGAGCCCCTGAGCCAAAGAATTGTGTACGGTCCCCCCGCAGTTCTTGACGACTCCGAGTCTCTCCCTTACAGCCACCCACTCTCTTAACGAAACAAGGATCGCGACCAGCGTCATAGCCCTACCATGGAGCTGGAACAAAATCCTCCGCAGACCCTGGTCGAGATCTTGAATAATCATACACACATCGAACTTTTCCAAGACTGGTTCAAGGCCCACGGAGCCGCTTTTTCGACGGAGATGGTCACCACAAGCCTCCGATACGACAGCCAGCGTTCCGAGCTCGTTTTCGGCCGTGGGCACAAGTAAGCCCGCTGGTATTTGTCGGCCAACAACTTGGAAAGAAGACTGACGCTATCCGCTCCAGAGACACCCAAGTGGCTGTCAATAGCTACTTGTCCAAAGTCCCCATCGGAATCGACCCGGAATCCTGCTCATGGGCCATTGTTCTGGACAAAATGTACAGAGCTAAGAAGGAGTGGGAGGGCAAGGGCAGGTTTCGCTTGCGCGGCGGAGGCCGCATCGAACGCGTCATCCTCCCCGTGCTCGAGGCCATTCCTACGGATAACGGACTGGGCCTGTTGAAAAGTGCCTTGACGGTAATCTTTCACGTAGGTCGCCCCCCTACTCGAACCGTACGGGCGTCCTAGGCAACACGGGGAAGTCCATGGTTCGGCTGACGGCTGACGTCCGATAGGCCGTTAAGAGAAGATCAGACGCATGTGAACGGATATTGAATTGCTTCTCCGAGATCCCGGAGATGATCGCAAAGGGTCACACCCTAGCTAGAATCCACTCTGGCAAGCCCGAAGTCGAAAACAGGGTGAAGGGACTTTATCATGCACTCTTTGATTCAATACCTTCACTCATTGGTATTCTCCTACGACAAAACACGGGTGAGTGTCTACACACAACAGTACACTTCTCATGTTGATCATGGTTCGGCATCGCAAATCAAAGAGGAACTAGTGTGTTGACAGAAAAGATGACTGACACCTTGTAGACCAACGGAAAAGCTGGAAGCGAGCCACAGACAAGGTTGCCGGGGTGGTTAAGGATCTGGTTGGCGACCCCGTCAAAGAGGTGGAAGACTTGATCGCCCCCATAACAGCCGCTGTCTCCAGCCTCGAAGATTGCGCCACCATGCTTAACAATGAGAGGGTGGAGATGATATACAAGCGAGTGGCTGGCTTGGAAGTCAACATCCAGCTGATCCTTGACATTATCAGGCCCAAGAATGCCGAAATTAGTCGTCTGTACAACAAGGTCGACGAGTTAATATCCGCACAACAGGACCGCCGCGAGTTTCTCACATTGGCTAATGCACTATTCCGGCTTTTTGCTGAAACAAAGAGAAAGAGAGATCTCGAGGCTCGGCCTCTGGCCCCTGAGAACGGCGCAAATCGAACAGCCCAGTTACTCGACCATCGCCGGCGCGAGTTTCCAAGCGCCCGAAGGCAGTCGAGGAAGCCCCAGCGGGCGATTGAGCGTCTCTACAACGTCGACATGAACAGCCTACTAGAGGTGATCGGTACGGATGACGAGCACCTGGTCTCCCACAGGGACAGGGACCGTCTGGTGCGCATGCAGTCCGAGTTTTCAACCAAGGCCTTGAGGAACGCGTACCACATCATGGAGAGTGACGAGATGAAAACTTGGATGTCATCGCCAGAAGCAGAGCTCATGATGGTGGACGGCGACTGCCTGAGCCAAATGAAGGGCAGGGCCTCACCGATGACGATGCTCTGCGCCTCGGTAGCGGCAGGGCTCACCACCAACACCGCCTCCCCAGACCCCGGCATGGAGCCGGCCGGCGCCGCCGTGCTGTTCTTTGCGTGCGGCGACCACTCGTCGCCGCCCAGTCTGCTCCCTGGCCCCGTGGGGATGGTGCGCAGCCTTATCAGCCAGCTGCTCATCGCTCGCGACCTGCCCTGGAATCCGAGGCAGGACTCCAAAGGTCGCGTGAGCTATGGGAGACATCCCGATCTCTCGTTCCTGGAGGCGTCCAGCACACTATGGCCTGAAATCCTTCAACACGGCAATACCGGGACTGGCTCCCACTGCATTTCCGGTGTCCTCAAGCAGTTCCCGACACTGTCTCTTATTCAGGACAAGAAGCAGCGCCGCAGCGACCTCTCCACCATCAACTCAAACTCAAACTCAGACTCCGACTCCGATTCAGACTCAGACTCAGACTCAGACTACGATTACACAACAGGCAACTACAAACCCACCCCCCAGTGCCAGCCCCAGCCCCAGCCCAAACTTCCAAACCCCATCGCCGAGCAAACCTACCTCAACACCCTCCTCGACCTCTTCATCAAACTCATCCAACAGCTCGACCACCACACCACCGTCTTCTGCATCATCGACGGAGCCTCCTACTACGAGCCCGCCCACTGCGGGTGGCAGACCCAAATCACCGGGGTCATCCGCAGGCTGGCAGACGAGCTCTTGTGCAGCGGCCGCGACGGCAAAAGTGGACAAGCCCGCAAGGTTCCCACGTTCAAGCTCCTCATGACGAGTCCCAGCCGGTCTTCAGCGCTGTTCAGTCTTGTGAAGAGCAACTACCTCGACTGTAGGGCGCTGTGCGTGAGCATGGCTACCAGGCGAAGCCCGTACAAGACTCGTGGGGAATATCTCGGGATACAGACCCTGAATGTTCCCGCAGCTGCTGCTGGGCCCCGTCCGCGCTCGACTTCTGGTCGGCGGGATGGGTATTATGGGGATTGTGGTGGTGGTGGAGGGGACTTGCGCGATGAGGAGAGGCATTATAGTGATTCTGGGGGTGGTTATTATGGTGATAGGCGGAGGCGGGGTGAGGGATACCCCCCCATGCGGCGGATGTATCGGTTGTGAGGTTTAGGGAGGGTGAGTGTCTAGATATCTGGGGATCGTGGTGGGAGAATGTACAGCAGAGAAGTTTGTAACGTTGAACGAAGGGAAGATTGAAAGAAACCGTGTTGCTGCTAGACTCCGTGTACCTATGTAAGAATGGAAGAAGGAATGTACCCCTTTATCTCGCAGAGGTCGTTTTGTATAAGATTTCTATAGGATGAAACCTCCGTGTTGACCGCGAATATCCGTGATGTCGATGCATTACTAGAACATTATTATATGAAATGGTTGTTTGCGGCTTGGATATATTCAGGCTTGTACAGTATTCAGGTTTCCTGGATATGATGTAGCAACAGAACAGAAATATCTTTCTCGTTATTACTCCCTTCCCTTCCATTTCTCTCTTCTTTTACGCGATGAGTGTTCTCGTTCAGGTAGAAACTCATTTGGTAGGTATCTGCCCAGTTAGTACAATACCTTGACCCTTCTTTTGTCGGAACCTCACTCCTATTCTTCACTTAGCACAGGAAACCTTCATATCGGGCAAAAAACGACTATTTATTATGCTATGTGGTGTATGCTCTGTACTGACTGCTATGCAAAACTTTTTGACGCCCCTAAGCGACAAACCCAAAAGACGCCAAAAAAGACGGTGATCCAACCCCTGGGATGGCAGTGGTCGTCCACCAAAAAAACTAGTCGAGATCTATACTACCTAAAAGAATTCTCGCTGCCGCTGTGAGTAACCCACCAGTTTACCGCTTGTTGTAGTTCAAGAATCGGCTCTGAAAAAGAAGTTAGCAACAACGACAACCCGGAGAACACCACGAGGAGACAACTTACAGCAACAAACAGAATGACCAAGTTACTCAAAATATACACAACATAAATCCCCAGGTCCCTCCACCGATGATCAAAGCTCAGGCCCAGCGGACCATAAAACTCATCACCGATCTTGAACGCGCAGTACTCACACGCCTGGGTGGCGTTGCGGACCAGGTAGCCCGGCCCGCCGCGCTCGAAGAAGGGCTGCATGTACTCGCCGCAGGTGGTGCCGCTGGGCGCGGTGAAGCGGTTGAGCTCGGCCGGGGCGCACTGCACGGGCACGTCGTGCAGCGCCGTGACCACCATGCCGCTGATGAGGCGCGTGAAGGGGTTGAGCTCGTACAGCCAGGTGCGGTAGCCCGCGGGCATCTGGGGCGCCGGGATGGTCACGCCGCAGAAGAGGGAGAAGGTGACGAAGATGAAGGGGTCGAACTGCGACGAGATGAAGAGTGAGGGCGTGAGAGCCGAGAGCGCCTGGCCGAGGGTGACCGAGAAGATCTCGGTGATGAGGATGATGAAGAACTGGTAGCCCGCGCGGGAGGCCTCGGTCTGGAGGCCTGGCATGTAGTAGAGGGGCAGGAAGAAGGAGACGGCGCACAGGATGCTGTACGGCATCTCGGCTACCAAGAGAGACGTCGAGAAAACGAAGGAGCTGTACATCTTGGACGACTGCTCGCGGAAGAACAGAGCGCGCTTGACGTGGTACATGACCTCGATCTGCGAGATGATGAGGGCAGGCAGGACTGTGACCTGGAACATCACGAAGACCTTGTACTGGAGGGACTGCCTCGAGTTGTCGAGATTAAGGTAGGTCAGACCGGTGAGAAGGGCGATGACGAAGTGGTTGAAGAGGCGCGTGAACAGGTAGTTGGGCGTCCGCCAATGGGCCAGGTTGGCTCTGCGCACCACAACCCGGACCTGGTGCCAGAACGGCGAGGCGTATTCCTTATCGAGGTCAGGGTTCCGCTGGGCACCCGCTGCCTTGCGTTGCTCCTTCATCTGCGAAATTTCGTCCTTGATGTTGGCGAGTTCGGGGCTGTCGGCCCAGATATCGGCCCAATCGCGGTTACCAATACGGGGGGAGCTGCCAGCGCCAATGGCTTCGAGCATGAACTCGGCGACATTGTCCGTCGCCTTGGGCTCAGCGCCGTGGCTCTTCAGGTAGTCTCTGAGAATGTAAGCATCCTTGCCGATATCGCCAAAGTAGACGCAGCGTCCACCGGACTTCAGCAGCAATAGGCGGTCAAAGTTCTCGAAAAGAGCAGCGTTCGGCTGGTGGATCGTGCACAGAATGGCCTGGCCCGCAGCAGCGAGCTTCTTCAAGAAGCGGACGATGTTGAAAGCGCTCTGGCTGTCGAGACCCGACGTCGGCTCATCGAGGAAGAGGAGAAGCTCCGGCTTGGCCGCCAATTCCACACCAATGGTAACTCGTTTCCGCTGCTCAACTGTCAGACCAGCCTCGGGCGAACCAATGACAGCATCGGCAAAGGTCTCCATTTCGAGAAGAGCAATGATCTCCTCGACGTAGCGGTACTTTTCTTCGCGAGACGTTTCGTACGGCTGGCGTAGGTCGGCGGAAAATCGGAGAGCCTCGCGGATGGTCTGGGTAGGATCGTGGACGTCGAGCTGCTCGGCGTAGGAGGTACCGCGCTGGAATTCCTTGCCCGGCTTAGTGCCATCCACCAGGATGTCGCCGCGGATGACACCAATGTTCTTTCGAGCAGCGAGTACGTCGAGCAACGTGGTCTTGCCCGCGCCGGAAGCACCCATCAAGGCAGTGAGCTGGCCGGGTTTGACGTAACCATAGACGTGGTCGAGTAGTTGACGAGTACCGCCGGGGACAGGGACTTCATAGCAGAGATCTTCCCAAGTCAAGATGCTTTCCGACTTGATGTTGAGGTCCGATGAGTCCGACTCATTCCCCCGGGCTTTACGCTTCTCCTCCCTCTTGCGAAGCAACTCGTCGTTGAGCTTCTTCCGTTCCGCATTCGGCTTCTGGAAGACCTTGGCCTGGTTGCCGCCCATGCCATGTCGAACAAACTCGCCCGCAACGACGTTCAAACCAAGGAAGAAGACGATGATAGCCGCCACAATACCCCAGTCACGCCACAGGAGGCCGGGGCTGTAGGAGAATCCCTTCTCAATGTAATCGCTGCCGGAGATTTCGAGGGTGCCGGGGTTGGAACCGGCGAGCGTGCACACCTGGTAGTTGATATCGGTATACTCGGGGCCCGACGGAATAAGCGACTCGGCGGTGCATGTCATGGTGGATCTGGAGAACTCGTTCTCCATCAAGGCACTGAAAGAAAGACCAACCACGTTGATGTAGTACAGCCATCGCAACCACACCTTCTCAGATTGGTACTCTGATCAACCGTCAGCAACCTGCCATCCAAAGCAAACAAATATCGGAAGACTTACGGATGAGATAACCGGCTGTAGTAATCATCAAGGTGATGCCGACCGTCGCGAACTTCGCTGCATAGTCGAAGTCGGGGCTGATGCATCCCAGAATGCGGAAGAAGAGCGTCATGGACATGTTGGCCGAAAGAAGCAGCAGATAAAACGTGAAGAAGGCGCCAGCATCCCGAGCCAGGTTGGTCATGAAGTAGACGATGATGGCAAATACCATGACCTGGGTGGCAGCGAAGATCTGGTCGACAAAGATTTGGGCAATCCAGAGCGCCGATGGCCGATGGAACGCGTATGCCCGATGCTTGTTGACGACCGCGCGACCCGTCATCGTGCCAGCCAGCTCCGAGAATGAACTAAAGACGTTGTGGAGCAAGGCGATGAAGAGAAGACCGCCCTTGGAAAAGGCACTGGCAGACGTGTGGCCGAGATTGAGATACAGGGTACCAAGGACAATAGCGATAATAATGTTCCTCAGCCAAGAGAGGATGAGGGCGAGGACATCCTGCTTCTTGAGTAAGAACTGGCGTTTCATCAATGCCCAGACCTGTTGATGGAATGCAACTGAGTAGGCAGACTTCTTTGAGGCGCCACGACGCTTCTGCTCTCGAACAGCGACACGGAAATCGTCATACTTGTCGGTTTCCTCGGATAGACCCGTCTTGTACTGGGACATCTCTTCGTCCAGGTCCTTGGCAAACTTGGATTCCCTGAAGGCCGCCTCCAGTGACTCGGGACTGTTAGGGGCGTTCTCTGCGGACCTGCCTTCCTGGTACTCGCGTTCATAAGCATCCGTGCATCCAGTGACATAATCCGGGGTGGTTTGACGGGGCCGGGGAAGGAAGCCGAGCCCTTCGAAATAAGCTCGGGCTTCAGAAGCCGGACCAAAGTACACCTGCCTGCCTTCATCGATGACCATGACCTTGTCGAACAGATTATAAATGTTCTCGGAAGCCTGGTACAGCGAGACGAAGGTGCTCGTCTTGTACAGGTCTGTCTGGACCCGGAGAGACTTGGCGAAATCGAGGGCGGTCGAGGCATCGAGACCACGGGTGCTGTTGTCCCAAGAGAGGATGCATGCATTGCTGACCAGCATCTCAGCGATCGATACCCGCTTCCTCTCGCCGCCAGAAACGCCACGCACAAATGGATTGCCGACGATGGTCTTGCGCGTGTGCTCGATGTTGAACATCTTCAGGAGCATCGTGACGACCTTCTCTTTGAACTGTTCTCTGTTGATACCGGCGGGCAGCTTGCCCGGAATCTTGACGTCAGCGC